TTTGTAAGCGGAAAAATCTTATATTAGCTTTATTTCTGTTGCGGTTTTCTCGTAGTAATTACGACGTAAATTCGAAAAATCTTTTGCGTATTCAAGTTTTTAAAAATATTTATTTAAATGAGACTTAATTCGAGTGATTAATGAAAGGAAAATGTTACTGCTTTATGCAATTTTGTGGCAATTCATACTCGGTAAAGAATATTCTAAGCGAATGTACAAATTTAAAAGAATTAACAGGGGAAATGATTGAATTTCTAGACGAAATTAACATTGTAAAAGAGGTTTGTATATGAAAATAATTCTATTAAAGGAGCTAATTAATTTTTCGATTGTAAACGGAAGAAAACAGTAAAAATATTTATTTGGTAAATTATTTCTTTATTAACTAATTAACTTCTTTGACAAACTGCAAACTCTGCGAGTTTTCCATGTTCTAAACAGAGGTACAGTACTTTGTTTAGCAAATATTGTAGATGAAGCAGAAACTGGTGCTAATCAAATTCTCTGCCAATCTTCTCTAATCATTTTTACATAGTATTTGCTGTTTAATCTCTTAAAAAAATATATTTCAATTAATTCGAATGAAAGTAAGACAAATAAATCGAAACAAAAATGTGTATTGATAATTAAATAATAAAAACCACAGAAATTCACAGGTATATCGAGTATGGTGCAACAACACTAATAGTAATTGTGAGGCCGGGACCACACACTCCCCCTCGGACGGAAACCGGCTGTCGAGCTAAAGTCAATATATCGGTGACTTATTACGTAAATAGGACCGGTGTGACCAAGGAACGGGGTGCGAGACGATTTAATTGTCGCATTCCAGCCCTAATTGACAGATTCACGGTCGTCAATCGTGAGAACGATCGAGGGATCGACCGTCGGGGAAACTTTGGACGGTCACCTTACATCGAGTTCAAAGCAGGTCCTGCTGACACTCCTGTGGAGGGGGCGGCGGCTGAGACAGCTTCCTCCTCTCCGGGACCGAAAAATAGACATTAGGTGACAATTTACGAGACCGTCATCCGGGAGAGGGCTTGACCCGACTCCGGAGG